TATATATATATATATATATATATATATATAACCAAGAACCCTGCCTTATCAAGTACGCCGCCTATGGGCGCATGATTAAGCAACTTTGTAGACGAGAAACGGACTGTTATTACTAATTAGATCCAAATCGTTTCGGATCGTCGTCTACTATAATTCACTTGATTTCTCGAATTCAGCAGAGTCCGGTATTGGTGACGATTTGCAAGAAATATGTTTCACTCACCTGTCAATGCTTCGGCTTGTTTAGACATGACAATTCATGTGCATCTTGTGTTCACTGGATTAGTGATCGTACTCAGCTGTCCTCTGACATCCGAATTTCGAGTCCCGGACTGGTCGGAGAGTTGTCCGGTTTACAAGCTTTAGTGACAAGAGGGACCTGGTACAATTTTCTACCCCGTATAGTTAATTGATCTAAAAATAACACAGCAGAACATAAAGGGACTTAAAAAAAACTGATGTACAAGCAAATCGGTCTAGTCGTAACCTAATAAAAGTGGAGTTTTCATCATTATAAAGGAAGAACGCTTAGGTTAAACTACCCGACAACTTCTTTAATCCAAGAAGGGTAAGATATATATCCTGTCTTCATGAAATGACGTCGATCGGAATTCAACTGACTTAGATATTCTGGTGCCCCTTGTTTATTTAAAATGGAAAATGATGTTACTTTGTACGATACCCCACTGACTCCGCGAAAAGACCAAGTGACACTTGAACAATATCCGGTAGGCTCACCCCGAACAGCCAATAGTTAGTCCTGTAGTTAGTGGAAAACACGTGGTTCTAATAAGGTTGAATTCGTAAGTAGTTTTGTTTCAATTCTAGTTCTCTTCAGTTGCCCGAGTGTGCCCCGCGAAATCGGCGTCTCCCGAAATCTGTCCATTACGATGTATTACCGGATTCCAACATTAAAAACACCGAATCCATGACTCTGGGTTCTTATGCAGGGCCGCAGCGACCAGAACACCTGATTGGACGTGCCAGGTACAGTTTTCTTCTAATCAAGTCGCATTATTCTACCGGTGTTTTGAACATTTTATTGGCTGAATGAATTCGGTATTACTGTCACTGCTCTGACGATTAGTCGCAGTTTTCCAGTACACGATCACAGTGATATAGCTCCTTAGTAAACGTGCTAGAATTGAGACGGGAGAAAGCGCGTCACCATCAGTTGAATATAGCCAATTACTGGTCAATATTACCATGGATGGGTGATTGGTCCCAAACGTTTGAAAAAGTGATACGCTCTAATTTGCCATGGTAACAAAGTGCCCTCGAGTCACGATTTGTCATTCACCCTATTAATTTACTGGTTACCATAGGTAAAAGCAAACAGGTGGAACCTGAAACATCACTTAGACGAACAAAAACTACTCGTTTTTAAGACTTACTGATTATGAAAAGTGAATCGCTTTGGAATATTTATGGAGTTTGTTCAATCTGGTCTAAAATAAATTAGTCTGAGGGTGATCAGGTAAGCGCAGATCACCAGTCTTCAGTTCTCTCTCATCATCAGATAAGTGGATATTTAAAGTTGTGCACAGAAGAGTGAAGAAGAGTACACTGAGTAGTTACTATTGCTGCAGTCAGTAGGGCACCGATAATATCCAGTTGTCTACCGAACAACGAATGCAAACCTAAATCTACCTCTCGTGTTTACGTACTCTTGGTGGATTCTAATATCAGGCACTTCCTAAAATCTGACAGAAGTTATTCGCCTGGTATTAACAGCTCTGCTAAATTAAAAAATCTGAGATGAGTCTTAACTTTCCTACTTCTGCTCGAGTTTAAGAGTCACAAACCGTTCAATAGCCATGCAATAAGAAGAAATAATACTTCAACAACTTGGGAGCGTCTGCTCAGACTACTTAGGAGTAACTGAGCAACAATACCTCCACAGTTGTGCACATGCCGTATCTGATGCATCCAGTTGCAAGTTGATGTACAAAACTTGCTTCCATTTTGCTGAATACCAAGCGATCGTGCAGTAAACTCTAGTGGCTTTTCTTTTTCTTCTAATTCAAGCGGAAATATTGTCACACCGTCACTGACTGGTTTAGGGATGCTAGTTTGTCCGTCGTTCTCAACCAAGCTGTATACATCCCGCCCTTTTTTTTACTTTTTTTCTTTTTTTGCGTTTTACTTTTACTTTTTCTTAGATGTACAGCAAAAGAGTAATTAAGGCGTCGCTATTGACTCTAATCAAATGCAGACCATAACATAATGACATCACAATATCCAGATTACATGAGTTCATATCCCAACCTGAGATTAGGGACGTCAGTTTCAATGCTTTACTATTAACTTGCATTGACCAAGGGGGTAGAATCATCATTTCACGGGTGTATTACTCCAAATGGCGTTTTCTTAAGAGGCGTGCATTCTGTCTACTCATAATATAGCTGGGAACCCTTCGACAGCCCACGAGGGGCTTCATCCTTCTCGATGATCATCAATAGTTGCAGTTCCCGAAATTTCATCAACTTTAAGTTTAGCATAAATTGCACCGCCATCAACGAGAGATTAAGCTAGATTCACTTGACTCTCCACTCAAACACAAACTCATGTGCGAACGAAAGCATTTGGCATGCATTTTGTTCATATACGAAGGGTGAATTAGCGGCATATTTTAGAAGAGTTATGGATGAATAAATATCATCAACCGATGTTTATTTCACTCAACGAATGCAGCCCTGTTTGAATTGTGCCTAATAAGTGCCTACCTAATAAGTAATATGAAGAAATGGAAGAACAAATCATTCTTGTTCCTTTCAATCCTCCTTTGTTATCTTGCTGCTAGAAATTTAAACTAAAATGTATCGCATTCATTTTTTCAGTCCAACTAACGAGCATACAGTGTCAACGGAATTAGATGACAAGTCTGTTAGATCGGGTACATCATCAGAAGTGATCGCATCTTTGAACGACATAGATTGGAAACAATCTCCAATGCCCCAGAAATCTATTAATAATGGCATTGGAGAACGGAATCAACAGATTTCTGAGGAGAACCCCGAAGGCGAATCCATAGAAAAAGATGGACGATTGGAAAACACATCTTTCTGTATACCGCAAGTAACACACAACGGTCAGTTTTGAGCCAAATGCCAGTTGCATAATAAGTGTGTGATCATTGTGTTGGAGGTCAACTGCTTCAAGTTTTGGACCAAATATTATTCAAAATAAACAACTGGCTCACCAGTTGAAGGCTAAAGTGTATCAATATAAGTTACAGTCTATTTGTAATTCAACCATTCGTAAAAAAAACACTACTTTTCAACCCCCCACCCAAAACTTTCACCTTTAAATCGTGGTCGGGGTTGAGTGCTGCAACACTGGCTGTAACATCGACCTAGAATTAGGCCAGGGGGCCCAACGGGGAGCGGTCAGACCAAGGGCAGTGAGACCTTGTACTACGGGTCATTGTGCTACAGTCGGTTTTGAGGTAAAGTCATACTATCCTCTGAGATAGGTGTTTGAAGGCAGTAAGGTGTTTCTCTCAGGAGACCCGTATGTCCATATTCATGAAAGAAGTGATGCTGCCTGTCCGAGAATTAGACAGGTCAGAAAAGGATGGCCTTAAGTATTTCACACTCCGACTGATCAACGGTTAACCACGACCGTCGGTACCTTATTCACTTCGGTCTAATTAATTTTAAAACCAAAAGTCCTGTTCTACTGAAAAGGCAGTCTCTGCGTAACCGCACTGGACTCAGGACTAAGACAGTAATGCCCCATTTAACCTCAAATCAAGCAAGGAGCACTGGCATCGTGATCCTTGGAGGAAATATGAATGCGCAGCTTGGTCGTCTAAGCTCCTTGGAATCGCATCTGGGCTGACAATTCGGGGTCGATGTTCGTTGCACAGACAACGGAGAGTGATTGCCCCAGTTACTGATGATGAATGGTTTCTGGCTAGTATGAACTTTCAGCATAAGCGTTGGCGTCGCAGGGCCTGGCAATCACTAACTGCAAACCATCCTTAGACCCAGTTGGATCAAGTGGCCATCAGCCACCGGTGAGGAGCCACAATTCAAGACTGTTGCTTCTTCTGAGGTTCACAACTTGATTCTGATCATGCCTGGGTGCGTGCACGCCTGACAGTAAATTTCCATTCAGACCCTCGCACGTCAGAAAGAAGCATGCCAATCAACCATCACTGCTGTCTGCCAGACTTCTCCATACGACCAAGTAACCACTGAATTTCCTATAAATCGCCACTTCCGACTGATCTCAAGAGCTCTATACCAACAGGTGACGAGTACGATGGCGCATGCAAACTCCTCAAATAGTGAAGAGTCTAAGAAAATACCGAGAGCTCCGGTGGAAATTGACAGCTCAGAAGATATAGAAAGCTTTTGCTGCCGGAAACAACCGTGTTCTATATCAAGCGATACGTTCGACTGGCAGTAGGGAAGCACTAGTAAATGAATCAATGGATGAAAAAGGCGACTAATGAATTTACTCACAAAAACGTTGACCAGAAAGATGGGCCGAACACTTCGAAGCACAGTTCACCTAGCCAGCAACACAGCCTTCGAAGACTTTGCTTACGAACGAATGAAATTTAGACCTCAATCGACTGCTGGGAGAAATAAAGTAAGAAATATCGGTACTAAATCCCTGGGAGGCACCAGGATCATACGGTCCGTATCCAGCACTTTAAAACATGTGGAGAATCACGGTGACCGATATAACAAAGCTTATTGGCGCGATATGGATTGATCAGTAAGTGCATGCAGAATGGCGTACGTCAGCAGCTATTCCTACACTCAAAAAGAGTTAGTGGACACTGTGCAAAACCATCGTAGCTTTAGCGTGGTAGTTGTGGGATGGAATATGATTTCTGGTCTTGCCCTTCGAAGGGTAGCTGAACACAAGGTGAGACAGACCCGTGAAAACCAAGCTGGGTTTCGTCCCGCATGAGGATGCACCGGACAAATTTTCACCCTTCGTCAGATTCTCAAACAGCAACAAGTTTTTCAGAGACCAACAACAGCTGTCTTTCACAGTTTGAAAGCTGTCTTTGGTTCTATGGACCGTCAGGCATTATGGAAGTGTACGTGTTCCCAGTGAATTCTTGACCCTTCTTAAGGCACTGTACATCAAATCCTGTTGACGTGTGAAGGTCTACGGGAAACCCTACTCTGAGTTCATTTTATCGGGCGGTGTCAGAAAGGCTGTCCTTTCACCTTTCCTCTTCAACTTCATCATTAATACGATTGTGGAGGACTCACAATCAGCCTTTGATGCCTGTGTGGCCGAAATTTTTCCGGGCATTCACTCACAGACATAGAGTCCGCAGACGACATAACTCTTTTTGGATCTAAAATCGCAGTATTGCAAACAGTATTAAGTGATCTAAATAATGCTGTCTCTTGGTTTGGCGGTCTTTGCACCTGCAATCTTTAAAATGCTATTGCAAGACTGAGTGGGTTCGAACGCTACCTTCATGCTTGCGGATGAGCCAACTGAAGTGGTAGACAAATTTGTCCACTTGAGCGGTTGTATTAATCTTGGTGGTCTCGCGAAGGATGATATCTCCAATCGGATTCGGAAGACCACAGCAGCTTTTGTAAACGTGCATCACCTGTGGCGCAAACGTGCCATCAGCTTTCCGATGTTGTGTTGCGGTGCATTTCATTTTATTACATGGGTCAGAAAGCTGACCGCTGCGTGCAGACCCAGTGTTTGACCACCGATGTCCTCGGAGCGTCACCAGAACACTGGATCAGAATTGCTGTAGTCCGCTAAATAATTTTCGGAAGATGAACTGATCGCACTCCACAGGTTGCACTGGCTTGGTGTGAGGGCACGTGTCGCCTCACTGTTGCGTGCAGATAGGTGGCCAAAATAACGCTAGTAACAAAATAACATTTTTCGTGGCCTCTGAGTAAGGAAGAAACACTACAGACCACCAGAAAATTGGGCTAACAATCAATCAAGTTTCCAAAGGTTTGCTAGGGTACTTCATTTGCAGTTCGTATCGTTAAGTTTGCCTAATTCTACACTGGAGATTCAGTCGTATCCATGGCACGCAACCATAGGCTGGACAATTTGTCCGAGACCCGTTTTAACGTAGTTCCTGGGTAAAATGATACGTGCCCATGATGCGTGACAACATCAAAGTGATGGAATTTCGATCTAAAAAAACACATTACCGTCTATTTAGTGACGAAATGCTGACAAAAAGCCTGGCAAACTTGAATGGCGCACTAGTAAGAACACAGTCATATTAGGTGAAAAATATTAGAATACCACATATTACTTAAACACGTTGTCAGCAAGATGAACCCAAAGTCTACAAACAGAGATTGTATTTTTCAAGTAGTAGGGCAGTCATCCTTCTGCGTAGATTGACATGACCGGTAGAGATGCTAAACACTATGACCTTGGGGGTCGTTGGCAATGAGCACAAACTCGTCGTTCGCCAATGACGTTTTGTAATATACCTATCGTGTACGAACTACGTGCACCATACGCTATGTTTCACTCTGAGGAACAAGTTTAGCACACACCTGATGTTAAATTTTAGTGGCTTAGATTGGGTAGTTAATTTTCGGATAACAATTCGGCATTACAATTCGCTTCACCTCTTTTATCAATGGGCTGCTCACTGGTTCGGTTCGCCGTTAATTTCCTCATTGTTGAATCAGCGCAGGTTGTGCGGCAAACAGATGTAACAAAATTTCAGTTCTAGTTAACGTTTTCAGAGAAAGTGATTTTTTTAGTTATCCAGATGATTTGAACACATGTGTGGACTGCAAAACCTCATCGACAGTGAAGTAGGCGTAATCGGTTATACCCATCTCAATCACGAATGAACTGCCTTATTCTCATCATGGTATGATTTTTCTGGTTGATCTACATGGCTGCAGATGAGTGAATTCGAGTTCCGTCTAAAGTCTCTGGATACTGCACACTTTCGGCGTAGAGAGCTTCGAATCTGGCACAGAGAATGTAGCAAGCACGTCACTGGTTCTTCAAAAGCAGACCGATTATCAGCTGACACATATGCCCAAATATGCTTCCTTCCACACAGTGGAGGACTCCAACAAAAATAGTTTAGACGGATGGAAGAAGATGTATGTTCATAACAGTTTCTCTCCCATCCCAGAGCAGTTAGTTTGAGGGTCTATACAGAGGCATGAAGCATTAAACTCTAGTAACGTCCTTATTAGAGATAACTCACTAACTTAGACATGTAGAGCTTAGAACTCCAGAGGTTTAAAAGCAGAGGCGAGCATTTTGGTTTTCACGAGTGACTCAACTGAATCTCTCGTTTCTGATATTCTACAATTGAATGTGCTGCACACTGTTCAAGTAGAACATAAGGTTGGCGGAAACTCGGGGACTGCGCCTACCTGATGAGCCTCAAGAAAGGCGAAACCGATCGTGGGCTGTCGAAGAGTTTTCAGCAACCTTGTGAGTAATTTCTTTTATGAAAGAGGCAAGTATGGTTTTGCTTCTTCATCAACCTGTCCTTGACTGAGAGATTTGACTAGTTTGACCAAATTTTCAGGTTTACCGACTGACTTATCTGCCTTTCAGGAACTCCTAGTTTGGTGGATCCACAGGCGCCTCGAAATAAAGCGGATTAGCCTAAAAGATGCGCAGCAATTTATTTAACCAACACACGCTGAAAATAATGCCGGTGTTATTCAATCACGTTTAAAGTTATAGTTGAACTTAAATTATTATTTAATAAATTACTATTAGTTATTTTTATTAATTATCACCGCTGAGGGTACACTGCCTTTAAAGAACGACTTACTGGTATAACACCTTAGGCTAATCCATTGTTTCTGTTTCTTCATTTTACTGTTATAATTACCTAGTATAACTGAGGTTATTTAATACTCGCAGTATTATTTTTCGCTTTCAAATGTTGAAACTGCCTTTCGAAAATAAAGAGTGTTTTTCAACTAACGTATTTCAATTTTCCTGCATTTTATAGCCACTACAAATGCAACTTTGGACGTGCCTAAACAACTGTTGTGCGAAAAACTCATCCAGGCACTCAATGCTCTGGAGAAGGAACACTATTCTCACGAATCACTGCAGCAGGCTTTAGATGAGGCAGAGGCCCGTATTCGTCTGCTGACTCTAGAGCAGGCCAATCTGACTGTCAGCAGTGAACGAAAAACGCCAATGAGTTCTGAGCGAGAGGACATGGCATCGCTCAACAGACAACTGCTTGAATTCAGGTGAGCCTCATTCATTGTGTGCGTATTTGGTGACGGTAGTTTTATCAATAGCCACTAAAAACACTCCGATAACTTGTTCGTTATTTCCATTCATCAGATTCAGATTGGCTGAGGAGGCCGATGGACGGGAACATGCTGAACAAGCACTTCAACAAAACAAAGGCTTGTTGGAGGAGAAGGAAGAAAGAATGATGGAGTGCGTTATGTTGCAGTTTATACTTCTTATGTCATCAATTCCTGTTCAATATGTATCAAGAGTATATATGTAGGGGCTTTGAAATATTTGAAAATATTGAGCCATATGGGATCTTTTTTAAAGGACGTTGTCAAATGTTGCAATGGCTTGAATGTTGCACTTGACAGCACTTGACTAATGAATTGGGCGTCTGATAATTTACAGATTAACAGCTTTCCAGGTAGACGAACCTATTTCTCACAGTTTTTTCTTTTAGACCCTGCCTCTCCAATTAGCCAAAACTTTACCTTATGGTCAAATGAACAAATCCAGTGAGAAGGCAGTTTGAAACGAAGCATTGTGACGGCACCAGAAACGTCTGTAGCATCAAGAACTAGTATCAATATTTCCACGTTAAGGACTTTATATATATATATATACCGTTTTATTTAGTTAATTCAGGAAATTGATCTAACGACACAAAGATTGATGCGTGGCCTATTGGACTGGTACTCTGATTATGGCACAGCTACTAACCCACCGCTACGCACTACTACCCTCCCCAATAACGCACTGATGATGGCACCTCGATTGGTGGTGAAACGTTTGCAATCAAATTGCTTAGCTCAGCGAACAAGCCAACGACCACCAGTTATGGAAGTATTGATTGCTGTAAACGATGATATAAAGCAGAAAACAACGAGGATCTCAAAAATGACAACGGTTCTCAGGACCTTCTAGCTAGGTGTAGTCACTTAATTACAATCAGTGGTCTTTATCTTTATTGAAACTCATCTGACTGCACATAACACAGGGCGTTAAAAGTCGAAAGATATCGTTCCTCATGTTTTATCATTAATTGCTGCTGAATCTAGCAGTAGAGATACTTTGATAATGGAAACTTTAAACTTTGATTTTTGAAGTGAACGTTCGCTCACACTACGTGTTTTCATTGTGGAGTTGGTCCGAAGGAGTTCGTGTAAAATTGGACGTTATAGCTAGAAGCTCGTGGAAGTCGGGTTATTTATCTCAGTGTTCCTAGTATCAAAGTAGGAGACGTTTAATTTGACCAACCCAGCCACGTCAGAAATCTCGCAGTTATCTCCACCGCGATTGTGAGAACTAATTCGACAATAAGTTCTTTCTGACTGAATTCTTCGGTTTACTGAAATACTGAAATACTCTGAAACGTATTCAGAGATTCAGGAAAATAATCCGTTCTATCGTAAAAACATGTGGGGTGCTGCAAGTTCTTTTCAAATGCAGATTCCGTCTTGTTCAGCAAGTATTGTTTACAAAATATTTTTGCACCTCAGAATAGAGCGACTAACTCTGCAGCACCGCAGTGGAGTAGTTCTGGTAATTTTCAGAGACGCTGTATCAAACTGACTTTTTTACTGCGATTAGACGCACATTTCAACGCTTGCTGGCATCTGGGATAATGTTCTTTGGAAATGACGTGCCGAATTCTAAGTTCAAGTCGGAATTTTGGGGAACTATATCCTTTTATTTTAACAGACTCGAAAAGCAGAAACATCAGGCAGAAACAGACTTGCGCCGATTGATTACTCAGCTGGATGAAGTCAACAAGGAAAAAACGAAGGCAAGTTGTTGGTTTCGAGCCAAGATCTTTGTTCTTTGACCTGAAATTACCGATTGATACCAGTTATATTTATCTATCGTGCACAAGGAGAAACGACTTGCAGCAAAATTTATGATGACATTTAAGCACTCCGTTCTATGCCAATTTGCCTTTAGCCTCATTTCAAGAATATCCTTAATAATTAGATGACAGCATTTAGGAAGGCTGACTGACGTTCCTCATGATCTCGATCACGCGTCTGATGAAATTTATAATGAACTGCCCAAATATATTCGCTACCTTTTGTTATTTATTGGAACCAAATGTGAAAGCAGACGATACTGGCATGATGAGAGAGTACTGCTTTTGCTACCAGCTAATATTTACATTTCGGTCCTCAAGAGTTATTCCTTCCCAATGGCTCTCGCTACGCAGAATTTTTTTCTTTACCTCCGCATTGCTGTCGTTCGATTGCCGTTTCACCACTACACAAAGTCCAAGTTTTTTGCTTCCTTCCATTGCTTTTTGACACCAAGTTTGAAGACAAATTGTACGGGCGTGATAACACAAGACACTTTTTGATAGCAGTTTCTGTTTATATTTCGGTATTCAAGAGTTATTGCTTTGCATTCGTTTTGGCTACGTAGAGTTTTTTGTCTACCTTGGCTCTGCAATCATTCGATTGAAAAAAAACGCTTTATGCATACCCTACGTAGTATGTTTTCGTATCAAAAGCGAAATTTCGCACGGTTGTAAATTTAACCTTCTCACCAAGTGCAATCCTGATTTGGTAACTGATCAACGAATTCGAGGCAATTCAGCAGTCACATTTCAAAAAGGTTTCTCGAGTTTTGGAAATTAAGACAAAATGCTACGTTTCTATATAATTCCATGTAAATATGAATGTAACTAGATGAACAACAATATTTGTTAATCAAATTATATTCCCAGTTTGTAAAGTGACCAAGGATGCCTAATATGATCTTGCGTGATTCTCCTGCATCTTGAAGGCTTGGGTAACCTTTTAGTTGTATCTTCCGAATCAAAAGTTCATGATCCCACAATCTCATCTTCCTACTCGGAAGATCATCTGCACAAAAAAATTAACGAATATGTTTTTAAAATTTTTTAGCTGGAGATGTCCACTGACGAATTGCTCAAAATGGTTGCGGACAGTAAACTGGATGCGCACCGCCTGGATCAACTCAAGGTGGGTACCACGCTCTATTGTGCTTGTCGGTTTTGTTCCTATAACCACGCATCAACTAATGATTTCAAACTGACAAAGTTGGGTGCTCCAGTGTTTCCCTGAACTGATGCTTGCATACCTTGCACATGACAATTTTACCAACTTTTTATTTTATATTTAAGAGCTAAGAATCATTTTTTAATGATAATTGTGGTGGGAAATAAACTAACGGTGAATCGTCCATGAAGACTGGATGTTTAGATGTAGTCCTGATATTTAAGTGGTTATATCCACTGCTTCAGAACCAATTTTCCGGTGAGTTGTGCAGCATTAACAAACAAAATAATAACCAAATGTTCTATGCAAAAAGTGGATTAAAAAGTAAATAAAAATGTAACATCCCTCAGCTCAACAAAACCTATAATCGTAATAACTGTTGTGTCTCACTGAAGTCAGTTTGCTCGAGTTTTGATTTAGAAAACTTTAAATCTTTCGAATAGCAAGTGGGAATCAGCTAGTTACTCACAACCTGCGTCTTGACGAGTCGGACAGCTGCTAGTTCTTTGCGTATGTAATTTGTGACTTCAAACCCATCAGTCTTACAACAAACCACACGGTTTTCACGTTTTTTCGAAGTAATTTGGTTTATCAGGATTGTGGGAGATCAACACACTTTCATCACTTCCACATATAACTGATACACAACTTTTGTTTTGATTTTTTTAGATTGAGCTATTTGAAATTCGCAAGCGCCTGGAAACAGAAAGAAGTTTATGGCAGAAGGGAATGTGTGAGTTACAAGACAAGGTAGCTCACATTAAGGAAAGCGAAACGGCCTGTCGACATTGCGACGTGAACAAGATAGACCAGTGTCAGCAAGCTACCGAGGAGCATACTGTACGTCTTTCAAAGCATTTACGATCCAGTTACACATATCATTATTAAACAAAATCTATACTGTGGCGGCACTTATTTGTGTTTCATCTCATGCAAAGTTACCGTCGTATCACTTTTGTACAGTGTCATTAGGGTAATTCATTTTGTCTCTCGTTTTCAGCCGCGGTTTACAGAGAATGCAGTGGACTGTCGTCATTTAATCCTCAAGTACGTCACAGCTCTTGTGCATTATTCGGTGTTTTCAGATGCTGTCCCGAAACTCTATCGAGTTTAGATGAGTTTTTTTAATTTCAGATGAAGATGAAGCTGTTACTAAGAAAATTAACATAATCTTTCAGGGAACTTCCGTTAAAGTCAGATAATAAGCGGGGACTTTATGGCTGTATACTTTCAAGTACTTTTTGCAAGTGAATATTGAAACCGATTTTAGTATTCGGTGGCCCCCTATCTATAATTTCAGCGCGCATAGAAAACGTGACTGTGATAACCACCTTATATTGTTCAGCACAAGTGCCTCAACTTGATTTGTTGTTTTAGGTCTGAATCGGCCACTCAGTTTCCTGATAAAATGAACTCTGCGACAGATGTTCCTCTTATTCGTGGAATGGAGGAGGTAGGCACAATGTACAGTATGTACAACCTATGTCCGTTGTGACAAAATATTTCTTATTGCCTTACGAGCCCTTCAACTTAGAACCAAATCATCTATGCTTTTTATGTTCTTTTTGCCGTCCCGCCCCATTGAGGATGACACACGGGTCTCGGTTGATCAACGAAAGTTTACCAGCCCTGGACAGCTGAATTTCCACACGATCGAAGAAAACTTGATGGGGACGAATGGCGAGGATCAACTTGTTACCCTGAACCGACTAGAAAACAAGTAAGCCTTAATGTACCACACAAACGTATTCATTCCATCTTTAGACCGTTGATCCTAAATTTGAAGCTGGGTCATAACAAATTTCAAACTGCCCATGAGTGTAGCAATACTGGCTGTCTGAAATTACGAACGCGCTTTATTTTATCCTGAGCTTTAGGACCACCTGACCCAGGGTGGAACTGAAACTATCAAATTTGGCCTACTGGACAGTGTTCACAATCATGTATTTCGCGTTCACGTGGTTGATTCTGCAAATTAGGCTGGTACAGCTAGCAAATTAAACTGCCATTTGTTTATATCGCCCAACTCTTGCGGATCTCAGCTGCAGGTGTTCGAGAATATGTGCATGGGAACTCTTTTATTTGATGACACCATGTGAAAATAGGTCTTGTAAAAGGAAATTTAATGAGAGAGCAATAATAGCGAAGTATCACACAAAGACGTATATGAGCTCAACAGTCCTCAGAGGTAACAGAACTAGCTAGTATAAAGTCCACGGTTTTGACCCAACCATGACTTTTGCTTGTTCTCAATGGTATCTTGGCTTCTTGTCTCATTTTTAACTGCTCAACAGGCGTGCACGATGAGCTACAAGACGAGAATAATTTTTTATGCATATTTGGCTGCCATAGTGTAACTAGCAATGGTTGATACACTAGACGCCTGCGCATCCTAGGGAAACCAGAATATGCTTGCACAGCCTAATATGGTGTCACGCGTGAACCGCTGACATCCGCGAACCGGCAAGAGACTGCCGAGACCCACATACAGGTCGATCCGTGAGTGATAATAATCTAATGGCCTAATGATGAGTGCCAGTATCTATTATCTTACACCCAGAGAGCTTTGAGTAGAATTTGAATACCATCCAGTGGAAGTTAGGACATGTTAATTGACAAAGAATGGCCTAATGCGTATCACACCACGACTGGAGCTCAGCGACGTATCGAAAATCAGTTTTGTTCACCACCAGGTCAAAGCTGAACCCAAACCATTCGCTAGCGGAGCCTACTTAAGACACGAAAAACGTTATTTCAAGGATAAATAACGGGAACCGAAGTGCAGCTTTTGGTCTTTCTACATTCCTTTGCTTTAGCATATTTTGAACCACTGGGTTTGAATCAGAAGCTAAAAACTTTGCAACTTAGTTTGAGTACGGAACTAACTTCGATTGCCGAATAATGATTAAGTCTCCCCAACGTGTCTTACGCAGAGACTCAAAGCGTGATGTTACTTTCTGTGAGCCTACAACATATGCGGTACAAAATGGATCCCCAGCGATGTTGGACCCGGACACCCTGCAGAGTTTGACCGAGAATCCCAAGGTAGGTCTCTTTATTCTTTCACCACACAGTAATGAATATTAAACTCGAAGAAAATTGCCTTCAGAATCACCTAACTACTGATAAAACTGCATCTTTTCTGTTATCGCGATTTCATCCAATAAGCGAATATAATGTTTGCAGTCAAACGTATAACCAGGGTAAAAACTTTTCAACCTCATTAAAAGTTACCAGTAATATGCATTTCACGCATTCCGTGAGAGATATGAGCTTGCAAAATCCCATCTGATAGTTGGCAGCTGAACCGTTTGCCCACACACTTAGAAAGTCTATATCGCCACCAACCCTTCAACCACAAAGTGGTCACGTGCTGGCTTCCCATCCGAAGGTAGTAAGAGTAAATTCAGGAAAAAGAAACAAGATTGTGTTCTGTAAGTGAGGCCTCGAGGCCAATCTGTGCCAAAATTCGGGAGGAACTCTACAGCTGTCTCTTTCTTATTGGAAATAATTTGCATTTTGCATCCCCCAACTACCGGTGTGACTCAAATCCGCGGCTTCCTGGCTAGTAGTTGAATATTAGACCGCTTGGCGGTGAGTGGCTTATTAGCAGTGTGATTAATTCTTTTAGGACAACGCGTCATTTCATTGAGACAATTAGACTCAATAACAGAGTGTGTAGACGCTTCAAGACTACCCTATGTATTATTTGTCAATTTTACTCCGATCTAAAAAAATCTGATAAACCAAGTGATGTGACCGAAAACAGTGGCACAATAAATGACCAAACTCTCCATCTTGGTTCAAATAATCTCTTAACAAGTGTACTAATGGAGATATTGTCGTAGTATTTAGGGAGTAATCTATTCAGTTGTATCCGCAACAATGGTGAAAGTGCGTTGGCGTCCTTGGGATGTATTCTTAAGGATTCTCTTGGTATTTCCTGTCTAAGAAGAAGATGGCTTGGTTTTCTGATAAGACTTTCAGTCCATGCGAACTGCACTCAGTATTTTTTTACCCATGTGATAAAAATAACGTTCACAACTAATCGCCTAACAAAATCCATAATTGGGGAGAGTTCTAACTGATTACTCCGATTATTTATGAATTTTCTTTGGGACGCATTTAATACGGGGTGATTATAATTTGAATTAAAACAAGCTGACGCATCCAGTAGAAAATATGAGGCTAACCAAAGTATTTGAATTCCAAGTGAGTCACGCACACTCAAAAAATGGCTGATTCAAACGAATGGCCTGATAAATGGACTATTTACGTACAGCATTTACCCCTTGTTAACTGCACCAGCGCCCAGGAACTCTGCTCATGATGGACTACAAATCTTACCTGGATACGAAATGACATGTAACGGTCCCCATTCATCTTCTTTTGCTGTCGTTTTTAATTCGATAATCACATATGACGAAAATAACGGTATACGTTCAGTATAAGTTCACTGCACGATGTTTGAAATGCCTGCGTCATGCTCTTCACTTAACGTTTTTTGTCTTTTTTGGATTGTATAAAAGACCTTGATAAATCGTGTTTCTTTTAAAAACACGACTTGTTGGTACTGTGAATGTTCAACCAGATGAGTGCTTTTGTCTACAAAAGGATGTATAAAGTGGGTCTTCCTATTCATCAGTTATCGTGATGTGCTAACCATGTCATCACTCATGTGAAGCAAGATTCATACCATTCTCCTTATTTTACGTTGGATATTGAAACTAGCTTGGGGATTAGAATGCAGTTACTTTGTCTATTCAAACGCGTACGTGATGGACAAGTCATACGTTATCTAGAAAATCCGGTCACAGTTCCAAGCCTTTATTCGGCAGTTATCAGGTGGGTAGCAATGACCACCATTTGTCAGTGCGTCCCCACACAGTCCAAAGTTGAACACAATCTCCAAACACATCATTTAGGCTTAGTCGCATCTGGCTTAGTACAGACGTTTTGTTTACGTAGAATTATGAAACCGAAACCATTTTAATCACTCGCTAAAGGTCAATTTCGCGTAATTAGTAATGATGATAATGAATAACCATTAATCAACAATAATGACTAAAATTCGCAACTATTTTTCACTTGCAGAAGGAAGATAAACAGCAGATCATCACTGAAACAACTGAAGCAACGCTGTCTCATCTGCTTGCGTTGGTCACCTCAACCGAAGCTCGCGTGGCTGAGTTGCGATCCAACTTTGAAAGTACCAAGTGTAGCCACAACTCTGAGGTGAAGCAACTGCGGGAGAAACTTAGTTTGTCCGAATCGCAAGTGGCTGAACTGAGGGCGATGATGAAATCTCTGGATCAAATTCAAGTACGCTTTCCTCTCTTCTATCTGGTAGGAGAATACTTTCAGATAAAACATTGGCATTTTGGGTTTAGAGATCAAGACGATGAATGGTCGTTGTTCATTACTGCACTATTTTTGTGCTTCCGAATATGGCGCGCAGTGGACAATAGTTCACGGAGTTTCAAACAGATTTTGATCTTAAAACAAAATTTGAATCAGTCTTTAGAGTGGGGTTTGACTTGCGTGGCTGATTTCCTCCGGCCACCCATTGAAGGAGAATAAGCCAATTTGCTGGGTGCCTGCGTCTGTAGCCGCACATATGCAGCAATAGTGGGAAGCTCTCTTACTCTTCAAAGCCGTTTTCATTCCAGCGGCGTAGGCCTCCGTTAGCCCCTAGATTCAAACGTACAGCATCTGCCTAAACAATGTCGGTCCAGGCTTTACTTGGACCACCTGAAAGAAAATGTCATTCTCGGAGCGGTGTCAAATTCCTTAGGCGTGGGACAAGAAATCGCGTAAACTCTTAAGTTCGGCTACACTGAATTAGCTGCTCCGGGCCAGGAACGACAAAGCATCAACGACGAACCCTCTATTGGGCTACGGGCTTCCGGCATACTCCAGAGATATCTCCCAAATATCAACGTTAAAATATCTTCATCTCAAAATGTTTGAGATGCTCACTGACCAGATTTTCAAAGCGTAAATCAAGACAGGTACAACAGCAGACTGATAGGTTCAAATCCCTTTTGTCATAATGCAGTCACTAGACTAAGGATCGCACAGCGCGTGCTGTCCAAATAGATCTAGACTTTATCCCGGAAAAATGGCTGAGCCAAAGCATTTGAACTCCCAAGCTTCTGGTGATATTGTAAATTGTCTGTCAGAGTTGATCGCTGATGAATAAAAATCGAATTTTTCTGAGGTACTGATCTCGTGACCGATAGAGGAAACCCATTTGTAGATTCTATGTAATGCATACTTTAGCTGCGGAAAAGAAGGTTTTCCGCGATGGTCAATACATTGCATCCGACCTCCGCGCTGAAATTCAGTCCTTCTGTCGAAGTAGTATGGCTGATAGGAAACTACTGCTGTCTTCGTGAATTCCACCTACTGCAGATGATCATTGTGTGTTGAAGTCGTCGAGTAGTAGAGGACTACCTTAAATTTTTTTTCTGAAATGGTCTCATGCAGAAATGGTCGTCCATCGAGATGGTTGGCGAAGGTATGATACGATAAGGTGATACGAAAAGCTGACATGGTATTTGCTAACATTTTTCGGCCGAGTTGTGAGCTGACTCCCAAAATTTGCTGTTACAAGAGTATCCCGTTTCTGCTCCTTCGAAGGAATGGGAAATCTGGAGCACAGGCTTCCTTAGATTCCACCAGGATATAGTCAGCTCGCTAAGCAGCATGGCCATCTTTTGGGCAACGCAATAACTGAGGCTCTTTGGGATTTGGAAAGCACGATTTGCTGTTACGCAACCAGACAAGGCCGGTTAATTTGACAAGCCTATCATTATCTTGATGGCGGTGTAGTTCCACTAAATACCAGTTGGAAGCACTCCGGATGGGTGCAAAGGGCAGCATACTGATTTCCCATGGCACCCAACCTCGGTTACGCCGAGGAATTAGGTACAGAGTGTGAACTCGAGACTAATGAGTCAATATAAATTTCAACCCTACTATCGCTGCTGTGACCGGTTCACTGAAGTGTGATCTTTTAGTCAAGAGTTCCATTTGCTTCATGAGTGAAAATAATATAGAAAAACTTTAGGCAAAACTAGTAAAAAAACTAATTAAACATAGTTTATTGCACCGCTTTACAGTATTTTGCTGAGCCAGTGGCTGCTCTGTAAACTGAGATTGTGAACGAAGGCTTCATATTTGAACCAGTCACCCAGGAACCTCTATAAATGTCAAAAATATAGGAATCAATAATGGGCATCCTGTCCGACATCAATGAACCCACAAGCTCTATAGCTGCGCAGACGTCCTTGCACAAGCTTTCCGCATTTCGTTTCCGCTCTTAGTGTAAAGGACGGAAACCCAAAATTTTCGTGAAAACCCTGGGAAATTATCCAGCAATTATGAAGACATCTCTCTTTTGAGTAAAAAGCCTAATTTCAACATCTGATAAACTTAGCAGGAATATCAGAGGTGATGGAAGTAACGGAAAACAGAGTAAAAAAACTGAGTTTACGCAAATTGTCTCAGTCACTTGGTTAGTGACTTTTCAGCCGGAGCAAAGGAGTTAGCAAGACCCAACAAAGTGATCATAAATACTAACTTATGAAAGGTCTTAATTATCCAATAACCCTCTATGACTAACAATTATTAGGGGAACGGCTATGTGAATTAGGAATTCCAGCGTCTTGCTGAGGTGAGACGTCGCTTTCCTCATAAAAAGAAAACGGTAGCCAAAACTATATTTATACCACATATATGCATACGTACATACATAAATAAAGTTAGTTAAAGGAAAGAATTCAAGGACAATAGAAGTTGAACGGCAATTCTTTATATTAACACTGTTCTCAGAACTGTCGATGTGACTTATTACACATGGCTCGGTACTGACGATTCACTACTGTAATATATATTTACACCGTGGTTCTATACTGTGGCTACAGGTGTGGTTAGTTCTCATAGGAAAGTACATTCAATTCAACTTGCAATTATGTACAGACCTCACGGAAAACCTTCTTCTGCCTCAGTTTTGTACTGCTATGGATGCGGCGATTAAGCACTGACCGTGGACGCGAAAGGAGTTTTTATCAATTAGATGCACACTTAACTATGCGAACTACTAAGTGACCTATTTGTTACTTAACAAGCTACTTGAGCTCCGACCAACAGGGAATAACAATTTCGGACATGCAGACGGTCAGGTGGTGTTACTGTGGATCTGACCACATTGAATAAAAATCACATGGTTTTTATCGATGTTCTCAACTAGGAGTGATACATTTACTCAATATCAGTATAATAAGAACGTGCAGTTAAATTTCTCGGAGGAGTCGTTGGAACGAGAAGGGATGTCTCAATACCGACTTCAGCATACAGTCTATTGCCAACCGAACAGATCCCATGCTAAACATTACAATTAAGCACATGAATTTTGTATAGAATTTGATGCCAGGTTGCCCCGTAAATAAACAGCTATTGTATGCTGACGTCCTTCCAGCTTCTCATGCGTTCCGACTTCATATCATGCATATAAACAGAAGTCAATGATAAGGATCACCGTTCACAAACTTTCAAAGCACAAGGGTAGTCATTTATTGTGCTTATTGATAGAAAATCAAGCACAGGGACCGTACTAAGAACCAGAGGTATGTGACGTTCCCTAGGATAGGTTACTTATCTATACGAGCTACGAATAAGCACTTTGTTGTGCATAACGAATGCCAGCTCTTGAAACAATAACTGCTCAGGCACTGGTATTCTTATGATTTCTGGTGGATTATAAGTATCTCTAATGATTGTAGGTAGTGGAACACGTATGCATATCTCTATATACATATTTACTTTCATATGTATTGTGGACTGACATCAGCATGGTCCTATGAACTTTTGTTTCGCGCAACCACCCGGTCCACTTGAAACAATAATATCTGGAGTAGGACTTTTATTAGGTAATCGCTTCTGTCTAATTTCATCGCGATGAAGTTATTGAGTGCATTACCAATTTAATGTAGTCTTCTTGTCTTTGTTCAGATACATGAAAAAACTTTGGAAGAAAGGAAAGCTGAAAGAAAGTCAGTGCATGTCCAGTAAGCATACCGTTTCTGGGACCTATGTTTCTGTATAGTTGTGATGCATTTACGCTAGTCATAAAAGGCAACCAGATGAGCATGTCCGGCTGGATGCGCCGTGTGCATCTTCATCAAAGAACAAAGCCAGAAACGAAGGCGCACATATGGATGAACTGTTCCCTTAATTCAAGCCTCAGTGCTGTCTCCTGATACCAAGTTATCTATTTCTGTGCTGTTGTTGAGTTTAGCCTGACGCTAACTCTTTCAGGTTTTGAAGAAAACTTCAAATAACCAAGCTATAAACAATTAACTGGACGATCGGATTAAAGAATAATAAAAAATTTCGTTTCCATGATAGTTATTCTGCCAGCTGAGCTATCACTAACTCACTAACTAACTTGTCCCATTTATCTAGAACTCTTCTACATAACTACTATAGGCCAGGAGTCTTTGCATCCAGAGAAAAGACCAATAGCATGCTACAGCTCACGACTACCGCTTTGCGCCCGCTTCTCAAACCCTGCTCCCCTGGTTTTATCACGACGTTTAATTTACGAATTCTGAAGCATATCGTCTCACAATCTACCGTTGGGCTAACTCTTGACATTTTATTGATAGTCATTTGCCGCTTTTCCGAAACTAGAATACAAGATACACGTAGGGCACATGGGGCTTTAGATCATTTCGTTATCTAGAGGCTACTGTCTACAAAACACAATTCTGCATCTACTGGAGTGTTTTACGCAAGAGATGGTTTCTACACCCAAGCTAAGGCATCTTTACTCGATCGGACCCTCATGAGTGACCTCTTTTGAGATGTCTCTTGTCAGCCTGTATATGAAATCGAAAAAGCATAACTATTATCTGTTATTCATCTGTTTTTACTGCGTACGTATTAACTAGCTCCGGTTCTGATCCAGCGTGGGAGGCTATGACTAGCCACTCTTCCATCCAGCACGTGGATTTCATATACTGTCCTAGACACCCGCAATCTCAGTGCACAATTGCGTTGGCCCATTTCATAAAAGGCATGACTTGGGACTTTGTTGTCACTTTGGCTTGAGACTTCATGACAACGGCAATTGCACTGAGCATCAACTGTTCCTAAGTAGTAATAGATTTAGACAAGGCAACCTCTGTTATGCATCGGGGCGCCTGGGCATCCACGGGACCAGATTGATCACATTGTCGTTAGCAATCTGTGGCGAGGTTTTGCTCTTGCTTGTCGATATTTCTGGACCACTCACAGCGATTCATGTTATGCTATCCATCGGTATATATTTTCGGTAAATCTTGGCAGAAATCTAAGCACCAAGCTCCTTATTTGGCCGTCTAAAACTCTGAAATTTATGGTTTAAAATTTTTTATCAAAATCACCTGTTTCAACAGCTGTAATCTCAGGAGGCGTCAATGGCGCGAGGAACAAAGTAATCACCGCCTTTCTTGGTTGGGGTTATATGATGTTTCTGAAACCTGAATAAACAGCACGGGATTTCAGAACGGTCACTGTCGATCCCCGATGCGAGGCTTCGTATGTTTTCTAACGTTAAGTATAATTCAGACAGAAGACCCGTATGGCCTCAGCTCAGGTGTATCCTGAGTGTGGATATATAAACTTGATAGGAACACAGGACCTTTGAAATGGCAACAGGTAGGGAAGCTTGTAAAGTTATGAAACTTCTTAACCCGATGCAGTAAGCGGGACCGTGTTTGCAAAACGGCAATGAGGAAAGTCCTTCTCTATGAATGTTCGGCCTAAAGACCTCGAAGTTGTCCAGGTGTTGAAACATCGACGTCTTCGTAGAATATCCACCGCTGATTGACTGAAGTAGGCACTCGATGAAGCAGGCAGTAAGTAAGCAGTTGATAATGACCCCGATCCACTCAAGCAGCAATCACTGATTATCGGATTTACGTAGTTGGGAAATGCACTACGTACTTTTGAAGCTCTACAGATTGTGAAAACTAGCTGTCTATAATGGCCAAACTGTCTGGACAACCATTTTTGTCGTTATATACTAAGTTCATTTTGGGTGAAGCTCGCAAAATAAGTTCAGTCAACCTCTATGAGAACACCTTGTTCCGAAATGACGCTCAGATGTCTTTATTTTGCTGGTTTCGGAAAAGTATATGTACCTTGACTGTCCATTATAAGCCCTCGTTCGCCTTTCACTAGGGCACTATTCTTCCGTGGTTGTACGGTGTTTAAGCGCCAGTCTCCACTGCTAGTCTATTGCTGTCCACGATAATAATTACGGCATGTTTTTTATACGAGACGCCAGACACGTGCCTTAGAAGTCATGATAATTACATAAATTTTTATGAATAAAATATTCTTCTTTTAGACGAATAAGTCCCCCATTATCTATTGTTGTAGTTGGGCCTCTAAGTTTTACCCTAAATTTATCGTGGTCTCTATCCTCTCCCAATGTGAAGAAATCCTGGTAGATTGAGCCGGATTGACTAACATACCTTTTTCCAAGTCATTATTTCAGAATAAACAACTAGCTTTGCTTGCAGATCCTCTGACCAGTTACCCCGGACCGAATGACATAGTCTTTATCTGTCAGTTTTGAAGATGCTGGTTTATTTCCTCACTGGAATTCGTGAGATGCTTACTATCAATGATTTCCAAAGTGAATGAGATAGATACAAAATACTACCAGCACTACTTACCCACGTCTACCAGATGACATTTATTAAAATCCACGTCTATCAGAAATCCAGAAGCCCCTGTTGCTACTACATAGGAAGTTATTTATTACGTAATGACTACCATCTGAATATAGTATATACATAAATATAATATATAGTATCTGAATCAGGCTGTATGTAGTACAGGATGTTTCGTTAAGCAGTGCATTGCACTTTGAATTACAACCATCTTTCACAGTTGGAGGATGAATAAACCTTATTACATAATTTATTTCCAGGTATGAAGGTGAAAATGGCGTTCAACCTGGTCCCCACTGCCTGAATCTACTGACGCCCAACGTGAGTCCCTCTGATGCGTAGTCTGACAAAATACATGCTACACAAATTATTTCATTTTCCCTCAAAGTTCACACTATTTTGATTCAACCAGCTGATCGGTGCTTTTTGACAGGAAAATTCGCCGCTTTAAGTGAATGGTGTAGCCCTAATGAGATGCAAAGCTGAAGGTCCAATGTAAAACCTAGCTTGGAATTTTCTGCATCACCATCTTCTTAAAGAAGCAAACTTGCAAAATCATTAGTAAAGCGCTGAGGAACACCGTTTTAAGTACTGTTAACTGACGCCACGCTCATACCTTCATGTTGACTCTATCTACGGCTCATTTCCACAGCACAGCCACAGTCATCCTAGCAAATGTATCAATATACCACCGGTGCCTTTTGTAGACAGCTTGCATCCAGTTAGGTCTCAATGACACATTGAAAATTGTATTCGCTGATCCGTGCTAACATTATGCATTACCAGGTGAACCACTCTAGTGAAATATCAAGATAAGTTACAAATCAGTTTGCCAGCTAGGTCATGGAATTTCGGGGACTACGACTATCTGATAAGCCCCAGGAAAAATGAAACCAGAAGTGAGATATCATAGCATTTTGAGGAAACATATGTGTAGTTGGTTTTGTCAAGGTGAACCATTTGTTTCGACAGTGACTGGCAACTGAGTAAATATGAGTCAGCTGAGCCAGATGTGAGTGTTGCGTTATTTATCGAACCAAGAGAGTTGGATTGTCGGTCGATTTTACAGATCCATGGAACTTAACATATTGCTGAGACCCTGATTCTAACGGACAGAGAAATTCGCAAAAGCGGTCATTAAAAGAGTAGAGACTGTGTTATCACAACACGATACGAGAGTCGATTGCAGATTAGGAGCTAAGGTAGGCTAGTCGCAGCTTCTTGACGTGGTATCCTTAGAGATGTAGCTCAAACAACCGAACGTCGATTTTCCCAAGCGTGAATCAGGAGCGGTCCTTTTATATCTTAGTCTGTTTTGGGCACTTGTTAGATAGGTGGAAATGCGGTAGACGCTGTGATTCTTGTTCTAGTTTCTTTTGTGACTCGTCCAAGTCTTTGGAACAAATTCTCACAGTTATTGAATCAAGTGACCTGATCACACGGTCTCACACAAGTGGGCTGTTAGCACTGGCACCAAAGGAAAGGTCTGGTCATATTGTTACAATTCATCCAACTTAACCTTCGAGAGCTGCTGGTTTTTTTGCTTTTAATCTGTGACGGTGCAAGTCTCAGCCGGAATTCTGTGGCATCGAATTATAAAAGCCTAACAACGTCAGTAGGCCTTATACATCTGGGCAGTTTTATACATTTTTGATTGTCAACTTAAGTGATACCCTTGGTCACTAACTTAAAGTAGGGTTCGGAAAGGATTGTGATAATGGCATTTGATACAAAAATTGTGATGTCTCAGAACAACTGATTTAGCTCATCCGGTATGTAATTCTATGCAGTATGTAGGACTGGGCGAATTCAACCTCATGTTTTCGCATTTAAACTATTTACTTTGACAGGATATTCCAGCTCTCGTCAGTGAGATTCGTCGAGCAGCAATAACCAACAGAGAACTCTCAGCATTACAGCAACGCGTCATGGATTTACAGGCTGATCGAGATTGGTTGGCTGGGGAGAACGAGCGACTCATTGCAAAATTGGAGAAGAAAGCGAGAGTATCTCAAAACAGTAGTCAGACGTTTGCATATTCTAACTGGCCCACAGTACCTCCGCCATACCCAACTACCAGTGTACTTTCAAGCTATCCAGTGGTTGCTCCATTCAGTCTTCCTGGCCCGACGTGAGTCTCCTAACTACACACATTTTCCCCAGAACACCGTAATATAGACTAAATCAAACCGTAAAGATTTTAATAGCTATACCCAATGAGCTAATTCTGACCGTAACTGCCGTCTTCACGCCTCCTTAGGGCGAGATGACCTGTGTAGCATTATTGTATCTTCAAGATGCTATGTGAAACAATTCACTGAAGGATCTCATTCGGATTAAATATCAAATTTTCGTCACTTACGGTATTTCTTCTTAATTGCATATAAATTACTACCCTTTAAATAGTCTTTATTCTTCTCTTCAGTTTCGCTTTTCCAGTACTACCTTTTTGTCTGATATCCGATCACGCTGTGGCCTAGGGCGCACGATGCAAAAGAGCTCCGGTGGAATGATTTCAGCCTCGATAGTTCACATCATTAGTTCCGTAATATCTCCTTCAATTTTAGGTAACAACATCAAACCGTCAGTGCCTTGGACAAGTGGTCTTTACTGATCCTTTTAGACTACCTGAATTGACCGAATTACAATCACAACTAAAAAGGTGGCCATATTTTGGGGAATAACATTACTGCTTTGGTGGAATGTTACACATCCCAAATAAATTAGCCGGGAATATTGTAGCCGTAGCCCTCTAGATCCTCTCATGTTGATGGAAATCGGAACCTTGGTTTCAGTGAACCACAGCAATCATGGATCTCTTAATCAACTTGAGGAAACATTGTCATGAATTTATGATTCTAAAAGCAACAACTCCAGTCGGATGGGTTGTACTTCCGCTTACTATCTATATTAAGCAACTACATTTGATCTCTCCATGATTGTGAGCTTCAGATGAATGTCGATTCAAACAACCCTATCAAATAAGTAAATGTCATGTGGCTGTCCGCCTGTAACCCCCACACCGGTAGGTCGACAGTGAAATATTGGGAGAATGTTGTTATCGGGTAGGTTTGTCTCACGTTTTCAAATCGTCCCACCAAGAACACCGTTTTGTCTGACTACAGTGCATGGGGTTAAGAATAACTGTTCTAACAATAATTATGAGGAAGAAGTTTGTCCAATAGTGTTTAGCCATTGTTCTGGCAATATCACTAGATGATTAGTTTAGTTGTTTCAATTTTCTAGAGAACGCCGTTATTCACACGTAGCATCGTATCCTGTTCACCCATCTTGATGAAGCTTTTGTATTAAAAGCGAAAAGTTGTCCAGCAATAAATTTGTGGGTTCTTTCCCAAACTCCATCGGAAAGTGCCTACTTTCAGGTTTAAAATACTCGCAATATTGCTGGAAGGAAATTTCGCTGAACTTTACTCGAATGATTCACTAAATGGCGAGCAACAACAACTGTTTGCGAACGCAGATTCGATTTCGAGGTGAAGTTCAGGAAACAAATACAGTTATCACCATACATCTAAAGATTAGGAATACAGTGTTACATCAACCATCAGCACGTAGACGCACCTACATAAACAGGGTCAGTTGCGTCAGTGGATTAGTGTTTCCTCCCTGTCAGTCGCGAAGCTTTAACTGGTAGTTTGTGACAAATTTACTCAAGTTCTCAGATATAACTATGCCCCTACTGCATTTGTACCTAACAGTCGTAGTAGTTTGTTTCTGGATGTCCTCAACGGATGAGGGGAGTGGAACGTGCGGAAGCCTGCTAAAACCCAATTCGACCGACAGACGACAGCATCACGTTGTTCGTCGATATGGTATTGGCGTTCAATCTAATGCGGTCATATCAAGGCTGGCTAGTGACTACCAAAATGATTCCAACAATTTGGTCGGTAATCTCATTTCTTCTGGCCTCACTTCAATTTTACGGGCGCATCAGCAGTAGCATATTTTGCTGCGCGCTACCTGTTTGCTTCACCACAGCAGTGCGCGAGCCCAAGTAGCCCTGCAAGTGTTGGCAAGCTCGTTCATGTTGGACGTCGGTTGACCACTAGCATGCAAAGTCCATTCCTTTACAAACAGATACCGTAAAGAAGTTGTCGTGATCATGTTGTTATTCGAATGAATGCTAAGTTGCAAAATGAAATACTTGTAATACCGTAAATAAATGAATCATGATATGGTAGTCCTGTCAAAGAACGAATATCTCAAACACAGATGCTTCATTTCAGTATCGTTTTTTTTTCTTAGATAAATTCACGGTGTAGAACTATACATTTGCACGCAACGAAATCCGCTGATGTTTGAGTGTTCATGCTAGTCTCAGTGTGCTTCACTCCTGCGTTGGGTGTGAAGTTTGTGGTATGACGTGACGATTGCCCTTTTCACCAGACTTTGGTATGTGTGTGTGTGTATGTGTTTGGCTGAAAGCTTACGCTTGGTTTTTAAAACTGTTCAATTTGGATGCTTCTAGCTAACGTGTTTGTGGGACTGGTGACCATCATTGATGGTTACGAGTAATGATGGGATCTTCATTGTATACGCAAAAAGCACAACTATCAGTTCAGAATTTTTTCTCCCTTACATCCAATAGTTACCCCGTACAGTGTAGTGCGGTTCCACATTGCAACCAGCATACAGGCGTACTACCAACATGTATCATACACGGTCAGTATTCAGCTGAAACAAAAGCTCCAGGAAGAAAACCATCCGAACTTCAACCCGAGACAACAGACAGCAGTAGCTATCCAATCAGTCAAGCAAACAATCGCCCTCTGACAAATGTACACAACTCCAGTTGGTCCCTAGACCAAGAAGAGCCCGTGGTAGAAAGGACTAGCTCTAAAGGGAGATTTCAAGTTGGCTACGAAAATCCGACCCGAAATCAGAACGGGAATGATGAAACATATGGTGGAATTTTGAAGCAACTCCTCCCAGAAGTTGATCGCAGTATTGCAAGGCACTTGGAGCTTGGAGGTATGCTTGCCTTGTTGAGTTCATACACCATTTTATATTCCTAACATATGCGCTGAGAAGCACATTTCAAAGTACTTACTGGTGATGAGCCGTTTTGCAAGGATTTTAAAATCTACTTCCGGTCCCAGCGAATGTACAATCATTTGCAAACTAATTCGGTTTTTCCGGAGACTCACCTGGAACCCAGCTGAATCGCTCGTTTGTGATGTTTCCAAGCAACTGAATGTGCTGCCTGGAAACATCACAAACGAGAGATTCAGCTGCGTTCCAGGTGAGTTTCTCGAGAAACCTAATTAGTTTGCAAATGAGTGTATGTTCGCTGAATTCGTGCAATTTGGTTTCAAGTAGAACATAAGGTTGACGGAAGCCCGAGGACTGCGCCTACTTGATGAACCCCAAGAAGGGCGGAACCGGTCGAGGGCTGTCGTCGAATTTTCAGCAACCTTATGAGTAGTGCATTACAAGTATAATTCCGGTATTTTTCAACTTGATACCACATCATATTGGAGATGTATGTCTTTCCAGGTTCTAATCGGTCTAAGAAACGTACAAAATAAAACATCTCATTGCCCTGTTGGGGTGTGACTCAATGAGAAGACACGAAAGCAAATGAAAAACTGCAAAATTTACGCACTCAATATAAGGTGGCATTTTTCTGCTATAAAAAATCCGCCAACCGTTGATTATTACTTTGCGTGTGCAAATACTGCGTTTATATGCACATTTTGATCTTTATTTTTATTTCAATCCCCGGTCCTTTCTACTGGTTTTTCTATAGTGCGTTCACAGGATAAAAAAACCAAAAATATCGCGTAATTCAATAGTTTTTATGCAATGTGTTGCATCACCAAATAGTGAATCCCACATTGGTCTGGTAGATCTATTCTGCGCCGCGTGGCAGACAATCTTCAAAATGAGAACATGGTTTAAATGGTGCCGCCTATCCCATCCGAAATGTCTTATTGCTTCTTACACAGCGGTGTGTTGGCTGCAGAGACTGAAACGTAAACCAAAGATAAGCATGGTTTTAGTGTTTAGCCCTCAGACTAACCTGTCTTTCAAGGAAGGCTAACCAACAGGTGGATTGTTGGCTTATTTGTGTATACGTTCACTTTTACTCAATCTTTTGTCATTCTGTTGCAACTGAAGTGTACTTAGATGAGAATTCCTATGGTCAACCGGCCGGTCTTGATTTGCGCAGAATTGGCGAACCTACCGTTTACCACCATTGAAAATACTCACTTTATCCACACTACCCTTGTAAACACAAAATAAACCCCTTTGGTATACAGTGTATTACATGAACAGTGCTCCAAAAGCCATGTGATGAAGAGTTTCATCAAATTAAGAAAGAGATCCAGCTGTTGGCTGCAAAACAAATCGAGCACCACGGTATTCAACAATTTTTCATCTATCGTCTGCGAGTACGCGGCAAATATTGTTTTCTTGTACTGATCTATAGCCTTGGTAAATTTAATCGTCACAATACGAATGCTGGCCAAACAAAGGTGCGAAACCCCTATATCAGGCCAGTGACAAAATTGTGAAAGCCAAAAACAGACACGAAGAATGCGGGCTGCGTTTTGGTCAGTAAAACCTTGCTCAACTCTGGCTGTGCCCGGATGCAATTATTCCAACGTACCATAAGAAAAACAATGGTCTGCAGAATAACCGCCGGCGATAAGCACATTTTCATTTTAATTGCTCTTCAGGTTTAAGTCAGATTTTTGTCGAATTATCCAACCCTGAATTGTCGCTCATGACCTCACGCCCCAGAATAATATGGCTACTTACAACCATTTTCGTGAACTCACAAGTTTCACAATATGCAAGCTGTTCGCTTAATTTAAGGAGTACGGTTACCAAGTGATGTTTGACCGCTGAAGATTTACAGTCAAACGCCTCCATAACATATCTTCGTTCTTCGGTGTTGCAGTTTACCAAAAAAATAGAATGTTCACAGTAACGGATAGTTCCGTCCCCGACTACATGCTAGTCTAGGAATCAGTGTCACATAAAAGGCTAAAAATGGAACATTGAGCAAAACGTCCCCACTAATGTAAATTTTATCAATTTCCTCTGCACTGTAAACAGTTTCATTGTAAGTACTCTGTTTTTGGGGCCAAAACTGGGTCTCCAAGTTGATTTGTCTTAACGGTACGGATATATCTTTGCCACACATCAACGTCACCACTTGCCACTAGTATTGGTAACCTGACGGAATCAAAGTCATCTTCAATTGACATGACGCAAAATTCATGCAACATATTATTTCAGGTTAGGTTGGAGAAAAATTATGGTTTCCATTGGTTTTTGTTGGAAACAGATGGTAAAAAAGGAATGTTAGTTCACACGTCTATTCTCATTGCACAAAGTGAGGAATGATGTGACCACCATAGTTGAACAGTGTACCTTTACAAAGGATGAAAATTCAGCCAAAGCTGCCTAGTAGGTAGCACGTAATAGCCAGACTAAAAATCCCGTTGGAACAAGATAACCTCTTGTCCATATCAAGTAAGCCGGTGAACATATCTCATGAGAATTAAAAAGCTCCCTTTTCCGTTTTATATTGCTTCATTTTTTTCTTTACAGAAGTAACGAGACTGAAGGAAGTTGGACGGGTTGCGGCCTTTCCTGATGCTGGGCTAAGTCGAACACTACAAAGACGAACCGCCACTATGTTGCTGTGTGATGCCGAGAAAAAGTTAAAAATGTTGGAAAAACGCTGCGGATCCAAATTTCGACCAAATATTGATTCCAGTGATTACCTTGATTTCTTGAAAATGAAGTATTTTGTATAGTAATCAGGGTACAATATTCCAGGGTACATATCTTCCAGCAATTTCTGTGATATAATTCCTGGTATCCCCGGAACCATCTGGTTTGCCACGACCACCATGGCCCGAAAGCTTTCACACTCCGCTCATTTCTGTAAAAAATATTATTCCAAAACGTTTCACTAATTTGGAATAAAATGCCAAATAAATCTGTTTTGTTTCAGGGCTGGTAAAAAAATTGTTTCGGTTCAGCGCCCCCCCCCCCACCCAAAAAAAGGTTTCGATCAGGTAACTCAAGTATTGGTAACATGGTGCGCAAATTTGATGCATATGAATATCTTCTCAGTCTCATGTCTGTACGAACAACAGGTTATCTGAAGTCGTATTCCCGGAATATTAAACTCAATTTCAATCAATAACAGGTCATGGTCATAAAGAGTGTCAGCAGTTAATAATGGCGTTTACCTTTCACATGATAACAGCGATAAGCAGTTTGCAAGAAGAGAAGTGTGGGTGAATTCTGACAAATCCTCATAGCCCGAGAATAAAGGGACAGACTGCTAATAAGACTTACCAGTACACCTTGTTCCGGTCAAAGACCGGAATATGCTCAGATTTTTCCTTCGAAGTATCCAAATCTTGCAGCCATACAACGCCGCAGCCCCTACTGCAGTCTGATATACAAGCCGTCTGAGACCCAGTGAGATGCCTCTTTACATCACAGATGATGCTAACTGGCAAAGGTGAATCTTCTCTTCAAAACTTTGCATTCCCTTTAACTGTCACATTACTGTCAGAGCTAATACACATTCAGAGTTACGTGTGAAATTTCACAACTTCCAGAACCGCTCCCTTAATTCTCAGAGACGTACGTTCTGCAGCATGGTTTTGCGCTTTGCTGGCACAAAACAATCCCAGAGGACTGGATGATCTTGGTCAGTATTTTTGGTAGTTTGCGAATCACCCAATTTTACGAAACCGAGAGCAGTGTCGTCTGCTTATCCTTAGTTGTCCGTTCTCGCTCAGGAGAACTTGAACACGGGGTTTTGAAGCCCTTTTGACGTTTTCCATATTACATCATCAATGATGAAACTGAACGAAACCGGGGGAAATGGGCATCTTTGTCGGATATCATTGCTCTTTGGAAAGCCTTTGGAGAGCCCCCTATAAACTTTCATGTGTCCACAGATATGTGGATACCAGAAGTGCATACTATTCATGAGCTTTTGGAGCACAAGTGTGTTGAGAAAAACCAACCGGCTGACAGAGCTGAAGGCACTCCTGAAATCAAGGGACACAAAGATTGTTGGGCGGACATATTCATGCTGTTGCTGACACTCTTGATGGTATGTGTGTGTGGTGAACCTGATTAATGCACTATTCATTGCTCTATCCGTTATTCTATCGCTTTAATGTTTCAAGTGCTGTACGCACGCATCAGTTAGAATAAGCACGTGCTACTTGTTACGCCGTGCTGAATTCTGAATTTCTAATTCGTTTGGTAATACCGACTTGCGTGCTGAACTCCATTACTACATTTTGGCGCCGTGGGTAGGATTCGAAACTGCGCGGAGAGACCCCATTGGATTTCCAGTTTAATGCCTTAACCACTTGGCTGCCACACAACCCCTTCCCCTTCAAATTTCCCCTTGCTGTCCTTCACTTTCATCTTTGTGCCCTTTCTTAGAAAGAAGAAGACTAACCAACGCACTCTGTTAACAATGGGTCAAACTAATCCCTCTGTAGTTGCTATATTTTACGTGAACAAACTTTCCGTCACCACTATCGACTCAACTCAGGTTGTTCAGACGGTCTCTTTCGTTCAGACAGAAGGCCAGGTTGGCACCAACTGAGGAGTTCACTTCCATCCTCAAATAGAGACAATGGGAGTTTGTAAGCATCGGTAGCTAGGTGACGCCTGAGGGGAAAAAGGCATTCGAGTTCATTATGGAGAATTCTGTCACCTGCCGGGAAGCTGATTAAGCAATTACAGGGAGCTGACTAGCTTATTGTTGAAAGCATTCAACTGAGTGATTCAGGTGCTCTTCTTTAGAGATAAGAGAGGTGTGTTTATCAGTGAATTACCACCCACCAGAGGCTTTTTTGGTCTGCTGCGTGTATCACCTGGAGCAGTTGCTAGAAGTAAAAATCTGAGAGGACGCTATCTCACAACCATTCACCTTTGTTAACCAAATTTCTGCGCATCCCATGAACAGGTGAGCAGAGGACAGCCGTTTTAGAAACAGTAACATTTAGCTCAAAACGTAATGCTCCTTACGTGAAGGTTGCTAGTGTACACTGTACTCCCGCAAAGAACCATGCAATTAAAGCATGGTCGTCAACAAAAAGCCACCAATTGCTACCTTATGTGTTTTCATCTTGTTCACAAAATCCCTTTGGCTTTTCCCACTTCGCACGCCACCAGTGAGATTTTGGAGACATAAATTGCCCTATAAGACCAACAACAGCTCTGATCCTCTTTAGAGCCGAATAATTTGAGACCAGGGGAGAAATCTTCTAGATATGAAACTCGTTTGTTGCATCCAACATTTTCTCGCAAGTTTATTTAACACCCTGTGTACCTCTGCCAGGTCCTGAACTAAGTCCGTTGTTGAGTGCAACGCCACTATCGACTGCGATGCTTTTTCTCGAGACGATCGTAATGAACATTTAGCAAAGAGTATTCGACAGAGTTTGGTCAGTTGTTTTCTCTTTGCATGACTGAAAGCGACCAAATGGTTGGTTGATCGATAGACGAGCCTTTTGTATTACTAATTGGAATTCATAGCAACACCGTACTTGAAGCAGTGCAGAAACCCTAGCGTAGCATGAAAGCAACTCAGTCCCTGGCATCCATATCACACATAGGTTGGTGAAGAGGTGCATCGTAAACTCCCTCAGAGGGGAATGTACCTAGGTGAGACTATCTTGAGCACAGAGTCTCTCTGAGAAGGCCTCCATAATGGTATCCACTAAACACAGGAAACATGGATCAATTAAGGATGCTCAAGTTCTCGGACTTTAGAACAACACTGAATATCATTTGGTTTTTTGTTAAAAAATTAAGCAAAAACTATTTCCGGGTGCTGCATTATTACAGTTATCAGTGTGAATTTTGAGTAAGATGAGCCTTTGGTACGCGATTTGGTGAGTTTTTTTCCGAATATTAAACCAACCGTGTGTGTAGCCAAACAGGACATTCTCAATCTCTTTGCTGGATGAAAGTCATACGCAGGACTTACAGCTCAATTTGCCTACACTATCACCACAGAAAAAAATGTAGCAATATACCGAAACTAAAAAGTTATTGAAGGGTAGAGTAACTACGAAACCACGACGATTGTGACCAGTAGAAAGGAAAACCTCATGAAGCGCCGCTGGTCATGTTTAGATATCGGACATGCTTGTGCGGGATATTCAATATGTGGCCCAAATAATGGCTTGTAGAGGAGTAGAAGCAATGTGGTTAAGCCCAGCGACGCTTTTAGGGAGCCCACGCGCATTTGTGCTGGACTTCAGTGCAGCAGCAGCTCAGTTGTTTTTGTTTCCGGTGCAATAATAAGAGTTGAGATCTTACTTCTACTAATGGTCTGGCATTTTGTCCTATTTGACTGTGACTTTCGTCCCGTCAGCCTGCTTATGAGATCATAAGGGCAATCCGAAATCTTCGTTCCCCGAAAGCAATCAGATACCTCCAATATACCTGAGGTATTTTGTATAAAACAACCGTCCCTATACACCAGAAAAAGTAATGGTCCAGTTATCTGACTCTGCAGAGTCCCGTCTTTGGTTGGTCTGAATGCTGGATCAGCCCGGTCTATCTCCGTTTCCAATCAAACCCCGGTATCTTGATTCCTTCTATTAAATCTTTAGCAACCAACTAGGTTATCGTCTTGTTTTTTTTCTGACTTCAAGCCCTATCATGTAGCTCACGGAGTTGGCCGACAGCCAACAACTGGTTTGCCAGTAGCTCTCAAAACTGAAAGAATTATCATGTTTGCGAAGAGATTTCCTTCCTCTACATTTTTATTCCCGAGGCCGTAACCAAACGATGGCAGCTGATTAGTAATTCTTTTTACCACCAGCAGCTGAGCACATCTTATGTTTAAAAAAGCCCAAAAACCTTGTTGATCACGGTGAACGCATGTTTCAAAGTAAGTTGAAATAAAAGACATCTGCACCATATAATAAACAGAATGCCGTACGTGACAGACAGACAAATTCTTCATACCTGAGCGGAAACGTCCTTGTTTTGAATGGTGCAAGTAAATACTTGCTATTCGTGTTTGCACGGACCATCATGTGACATTTATTAGAGGAAGCGAGCCGTTTTCCGGTGGTGCGTCTTAAGGAACATCCGGAAAGGTAAGTTAACAAAACCTGTTGAGGAGCTAACGAAGGGTACTTCAGACATCTACCGTTCCACGTGCAGAAGATTGCCAGCCTGGACAAATAAGAGAATGATTTGATTTAGAAACGCAGTTCAGGGACTGTGATGAACATGACTGATACTCTATTCGTTGCTCTATTCATTATTCTCTTGTTTTAATATTCTATATGCTGTACATATTCGCCAATTAGAATACCTACGTGCTGGTTGTTACGCTTCGCTGAATTCTGGATTTCTAGTTCATCTGGTTATACCGATATACGTACGAAACTTAATTCTCACATTTTGGCGTCGCGATTGGAACGATTCATCATCCCTGCCGAAATGGAACCATTAGATGTTAATTCAACTGCGCATGACGTAGAGGATTATTTGGAACAGTTCGACATATGATGCCTCACAAAATCCGATTTGGGTGATAAGAAACTCACCGCATATTTCCTACATTTTGTTGGCAAGGCGGCGTACACTCTGATCAAAAATTTAGTATATCCTGAGTCTCCAGTCGATATTTCTTACACTGCACTGAAGAAAAAAGTTCTTCAACACTTCAAGCCGATTAACTTCGTAGCAGCCTAAAGAGCTAGGTTCAATATGTTGATCCGCTCTCATTCTCAGTCGGTTGGTGATTTCGTGTTACATCTGCAGACGCAGACAGCCAAATGTGACTACGGTGCCTAATTGGAAGACCAACTGCGTGATAGACTCATTGATGGCATTCAGCTGCCCGAATTACAGCAGAAGCTGCTACTCTGTCCGGATCAGAAATTTCCATCTATTCGGAAAATACGTGAGCAGTATGAAGATGTGAAGCATGTGACGAAGATTGAGGAAACAGT